TTTTTGCAATGAGTTTCGGAACTTGCTTGTAAAGCAGTTAAACATAAATGGTTAGATCCATAAATAAGAACCAATTGCTCGGTGTGCAAACTGTATTCCAAAATCCATCGAAAATGGATTGTGTTTCAACTTTTCTGTGACCGCCTGTACACTCACCGACTAAAATGTTGCAACACTTTTTGAAGTAATGGGTTTCGGAATGCAGTCTGCTCACCGAACGATTCATTCTTAACTTATGGATCCGTAAGTAAAAACCAGTCATTTGGTGAGTAGGTTGAATATCAAAAACCATAGAAAAAAATCTGTTGCAGTCTTTTAGTCGGTAAGTGTACATGTCGTGGATCATTACATACTACTATATCGCACATGTACGCACAAATTTTCATACATATATTTATCCAGATTTCAATCTATTAGAAACCATGTATACCAGAATTTTTGATAAATTGAAATCTGTTATTCCCTGTTTCTATTATCTGTGCTTTTTAATTGTATTTTAAGCTTTACATTAAAGAACTTTTAACCCATTTTCAAAATCATAATATTGCTCTTTCATTCTGTACAACAAAGTGATCATTTCATCTTTGCTTAACATTGACAAACAATAAGAATTTAATGATTCACCGTGTTACACTGCGTCGTCTGTGTCTCTTATTGGAAAGCTCCCTTTAATCTAGACTAACAATAAGCTTGTTTTATACGTACAAAGTATCTATAGTATAAAGCAAGTATTATTACGAATCGACACTAGATGTCGATAAAAAACTATGCTTTTTCAATATTTTGTTACTCTATACTTTAATTGTGGAAATTTTTTTAATATGTAAAGGTAATTAGAAAAATAGCATGTTTAAAAATAATCACGTTCATCTGTGAAACAGATGACTTAAGAATTTCCTCAATAAATTTTTATTAATTTTTATTATTGCAAATTATTATTGTAAACAGAATAAATATCATATGTATATCATAAGCTGCAAAAAGATAAATTTTCTAAAAATTTAGATACATTGCGCTGTCAAGAAAGGAGAGAGGAGAAATTTTTGAGGATTTTTACTTACATAATTAAATATATTATAATATTAACATTATATACGTGGATATTATATATTATTTTATAATTAGTAAATTTTAATTAATATATTAATATGTCATACATTGTGGATATAAAAAATTTTATTATATTGCTGTATACATATAATGAATGAGTATATGTTAAAACAATTAAATTATTGTTATATAAATGTATCGCAATTATAATTTATTTTAATTAGAATTGTATTTATATTTACATTAGAAATTTTAAATTCTCCGTTATCCGATAGTTTCAAGTTTGCATGCTTGCGTACATAAAATTATATCTCTCATGTAGATATTTTTACTAAAAAGTTTAATTAAGATAATGGATTTCCTGACAACTTCATAATGATGACAAATTGATTACATTAAATTCAGAAAGAGTACGATACAACGACAGTAAATTGCTTTTTATGATGAATCGTTTATTTTGGTTATTAATAACTAGTAGTTAAAAATGACGTAATTAAGAAGGATATATTGTATTTCGCATTCAACAGAATCTGTAGTTGTAGGCTAATTCTACAATGTGTTTTTTGTTTCCTGTTTCTTGCTGTTTGTTTCTATTTGTTTCTTGCCTTTTTGATCAAGAAAACAAGAAACAAACAGCAAGAAACAGGAAACAAGAAGCACGTTGTAGAATTAGCCTTAACAAGTTCATGTGTTTTCACTTCCATTTTCTTATTATATAAGGTAACTCTTTTCAATAACTGCAATGCATCAGTAATTTCGTTGTGTGAGATAAAAATAAGTTTAACAATGCGCATGGCGTATCTTTTTATTTGGCATAAGGCTGTACGTACATTTTTCGCACTCTACAGTTATATTGTGCGGCTTATATGACTAATATTAATGACTAATATTAATATTACTTTCCAAAAGAAAAGAATGCTTTTATTTGAATGAAAATTGTAGTGATTATTAGCTTGAAATGCATGTTTATTTTTCATATTATACTAATGAATCTTTTAATTTATTTATTTTATATTTTCTTATTCTTTTATCTAAATATTATTATTACATTGTATAGAAATTATATATGAATTTTTAAGAAATATTTTGTAAAAATATAATAGCATAGACGTTTGTTAATCGTTAAAATTTTTATTATTATTTAGAGTTAAATTATAAAATTTACTGGTTAGATCAGCATTTATCAATAAAAATATTTTATACGATTATTATTAATTTTTCTACATGTTAGTATCTTTTTAGAATATCTATTATAGTGAAACAATGAAATCTATATCTATTTATGTTATCAATTCCTGTGTATATAAATTTAAATGATCCATCGGTTAATTAATGAATCGAAAGTGACAATATCGGAAATGTTTAAGAGTTCTATTTCATATATCAACCAATGTACACTTTACAGCATTAATTTGATATTAAGCCTCTCATAACGTGTACTAGTGTACACATATAGAGGTTAACTTATCGAAAATTTCATTAAATCATGATATTAGCCGATGTTATTAATATTTGTTATCAATATTCAGATCTGAGCATTTATAGATTATCGCGGTATTATTTATCATATTTATTATTTATCATAAAATCTGATAATTGTATCATTTTAGACTGTCTTAGAGTGTTTCATATATGTATTGATTTGAATAAATCAATATAGTTTTCCTCTAGAAAGCAGATTCAATAAAGATCGAGGGCCAGTTTCATCAACGCCGATCAAGCTTAATCATGATTAACTGTCAACCGCAATTGGTCGATTTTTTTTAATATACTCCCAACTGCTGCCAGAAGTTAATTAAAATATAGCCGGAAATCTTAAAAAAACAAATCTTTTTAAATTAAAAAAAAATTAAAATTAAATAAAAAAGTTTAAAAAAATTAAAATTAAAAATATTACTAACAAAATATTAATTAAAACATTTTAAAGACAAAAAAATTTTTTTTATTTAAAGTTTAAATAAAAAAAAAATTTTTTTAATTTGAAAAAGCTTAAAAATCTGTTTTTTTTTAAACATACTTCTGACTTCTGCCAAAAGTTAGTTATAATATAGACGGAAATCTAAAAAAAATTTTTTCATATATATATATTTAGAAGAAATTAAAATTAAACAAAATGAAATTTAAAAATTAAAATTTTCAAATGAAATTTTTAAAAATCAAAAAAATTTTTTAATTTTT